GAAAAAAAAAAAAAAAAAGAAAGGAAAAGAAAAAGGAAAGATGAGAAGATTAGAGATCATATCATAAAACTTATGATGCTGAGTGTCATTATAACAATATTATTTTTGTAGTAAAAAATTAAAAGAAAATAATAGAGGTAGAGTGTGTCATTGTAAATAAGAAAAATCTAGGTAAGATAAAATCTATTAATGAAAGGACAAACTCATGAGTTTCAGGCTTTGTCTTGGTGATACATATCCTCCAAATCTCTTCTCCATTCCTACATTGTAAGTATGTTAATGTTTGTAGAAACTCATCAGTACAAATATGTATATCCAGAACTTTCGCTCCACTTTCACTTTCTGTACGTATACATTGCATCTTGCTCTTTATTTTCCAAGTCCTAGGTTCAATTGTAGGCAAAAACAAAATCACATCCTCATGGAATTCGACCAAGCTCTTGTTAGTATTCACTTGAATCTTTAGGAGAATTGTTAATGCATACTAAGTCTACATTCCTCCAAAACATTTAGAAAACAAATACTCGTTTAACCAATTTTAATTAGGTACAATTGCAATTTTTTTCTTTGAAGAATGGTTGATGGTAAGTTAGTAGTTAAATAAAAGATTAATTAGATGGCTAAAAAAGCCATTAATTTTGTTAGTATCGTTATTTAATTAATTTTTAAATAAAAAAATTAAAAATTTTCCATCTTATTTGGAAACTAATTTCTGAATCAATATGAAGTCTTTGGATTTGGGTTTCATCCAAGGACAGGAGAATTCAAAGTGGTCAGGATTGTGTACTATCAGAAGATCCTTATAGTAGAAGACCCCGCGCTAGATGTGGAAGAAGTTGATGAAGGATTCGCCACTGTTGATGAATCAATGGTTCAGGTATTTACCGTAGGAACAACAAACTGGAGAAACAAAGGAGCTACGCCTCCACAATTGGCGGATGTAAACGGACCACCTGAGGCTCTAGTTGAAGGATCTCTCCATTGGGTGACTGTTGTTGGGATGGGTGGAGATGGTCCTATCTTTGGTATTATCTCCTTCGAGCTTGCAGATGAGGTGTTCGAAGAAATTCCGCACCCGCCTTGTCAACAACTTGTGTCACGTGGCTACAGTCTTTCTGTGCTCAATGGGTGTCTATCGGCCGCTGGGTTAGTTGATGCTGTGCATTTTGATATCTGGGTGATGAAGAAATACGATGTTAAGGAATCTTGGGTAAAACAATTCTCTTTTGATCCTTGTTTTCGATGTGGATGGCTTGCTAATGTTTCTGGCACATTTAGAAGATTTCCGAAAGTTATATTTGCATTGAAGAATGGTGAGCTTCTGTTGCTGTCTAATAGCAGTTCTCTGGTTTCTTATGATCCTGTTGAGAACACATTCGAGAATCTTCAAATAAGTGGGTTATCCAATCTGTTCCATGCACTTCCATTTCTACCTTCTCTCTTCTCAGCACAGGCAACTATGAATCTGTAACTTTTAACTCTGTTTCTCGAATCAACCCTTTTTCTGTAAGACTCTACTACTAGTTGTTTTTAATTTGTGTCGAATCTTTGATCATCAATAAATCAGCAACAGTTGTTTTTTTTACATCGTCATGAATGACTTCCGTTGTATGGCAATGAGACCCACCTGTCTGCC